CCCCCCCCCCCCCCCGCAGAGTTACCCAGACTGTAATTAGATGGCCTCCAAATTTCAACATCTATAAACAGAAAAGCTGGAAGGTATACAATGCGCACAAGCTAAATAACAGCTACATTTCCTAGATAGTTAGATCAAAATAGGTCGTAGAAAAATTCTGAAGCGTTTTTTTCCATCATTTCAAGTAGCTGAGAATGAAGTGCTCAGTCAAACACTTGAGATTGGGGAAAAAACCCTTAGCTTTACAATAAGTAATGTTGCAGGGTCAGGATATGGATCAACTTCAGCCATTAGAGACATACCTCAACAATATCTAAGGCCACCAAGCATGTTGCTTGATTCTGTGAAGCTAGGAGAGGTGTAGCAGTCACAATGCACGAACCAGCAATGGATCCAACTGTTCTTCTATATCTTCTGGAATCATTGAACTTGAACAAAATATTTTCCCACTCTACACAGAATAAATTAACCTTTAAATAATTCTCTTTCATTCAACACTGTTTCCCTTGCAAGAGCAGAGGAACTGAATGGAACATAATATTTCATCTAGTTCCTTCTTTCACAGTTCATAGTTAAATTTTTTTTTGTTTTCTACAATGGTTAAACATTTAGTACAGTACACAATATTACAGTTTATAACTAAAAGCCCTCAACTTTAGATCACCAAGATCAGAGATAAAACGTTTTAAGGTTGATTAAATATCAAAATCTAGGAGGTAAATTTGGTATGGCATACAAATTAACAGGATCAATCACCTGATTCCATAGAAGATATATTTTTGTCATCATCATAACATGATCTTGATACTCCTCCAGACTCAAATTCTGCCTGCTTTCCCTCGTTAGAGATTACAGACATGACATGAGCAAGAAATGATGCTGCTTTACTAGGCAGCAAATTAGATTCGTGCTTTGATACTCTTGCAATCTCTGCTACTGCCTGGAGAAAAACAGGTCCATAATAATATAAAAACATGAACAATTTGGTTTTACATCGCAAAGATTCTCATAACTGAGAGACAAATTAGGAAACTCTCCGGGAGACAAATTAGGAAACTCTCCCCCCAGCCAAAGTAATCTAAGAACTCATCAAAGAGCTCAATGAGAAAAGAAATTCAAAAGAACGGTCATAATCCCTAAAATCTGACAGGAATACGAAGGACCAGCAACCTCTCAACAGACAGTCATATTAATTATTGTAAACCTTAGTACAAAGTGAATATGCATAATTCAAAAGTGACCTTTAAGAAGGGACCGGTTAGATTGGGGTGCTGATGTCTTCCAAGAATCTCAAGTTCCAACGATACTGTATGCATCTGCAATTGTTCGATGCATCAGATTCCAACCCATTCAGGAGTCAAAGACATGTAAATACAAGTCCACACATATAAGAAATGTAAAAGATTTTCATTCTAAGCAACCATCAAGAATGTAGAATGGAAAACTATGAGCATAGAGCCATATGCATGCGTTCTATACAGCACAGGTGCTCCCTCATTAGTTGCTAAAGGATTAATTGGCATACAGGCTCCTCCAACAGAGGCAAAATCTCATGAGCTATTCCAATATAGGAAAGGATAGCAGCAAGAACATTTGGCACGTGTGGGTTGAGATCCAAATGACGCAACTGCCGGCATATTGAATCAATCACATAATCTGCATTTTCCAAAACCAAGTTTCGAACCTGCAAAAAGTTCATATTTGCAACTGATCAAAAAAGACTTGAGAACCAAAGAAAAATGTATTCACATTATCTTACCGTTGGGTAACCAGATGAAGAAGAAAGAACATGTAAGACAGCATCAGAGGTGCTTCGAACTTCCACGTTTGAGGAAATAAGATTCTCGAGCAACAAATAAAGAGATTGATGAAGAAATCCACAAGAAGAAAAATCTTTTCCAAGGCACATGCTAAAAATACCTATT